TAGTTTTCGAGATATATCGTGATATTTAAAAGTTCCGAAGCCGCACCAACATAATAAACACGCCGTTGGAACTTTGAAAAATTTCGATGCGTCGCCAAAGTTCGTACTTTTCGGTAGAATCTTCGTCCAATGATACATTTCGATCAAGAACTACGTTGATCGTCATGAAAATGGTTTTTTTTTTTGGGAGACGTGTACGCTCCTTTTCATAAAAGAGACTATCTTATTGCGAAAGTCGAAATCGCACGATCTCACGGCGATTTGCCCCCGCATACGCCTGGGCGTAAGCCCGTGCGTCGCCGATCTATCGGCCTGCCGATCGGTATTTAGAGGGAGGCACTTTGAAAGCAACACGCCGCTGGAACTTTGAAAAATTTCGGGGCAAAGCAATACGCCGCTGGGACTTTGAAATATTTCGGAGCGCAACTAAAGTTCGTTATTTTGGCTAAACGGAGCAAAAATCTTCATTTATTTCATCACGGACGTTAGTTTAATAGCATTTAATGATGGATCAATCGTACAGAGTGCAAAAATATGATTGTTAAAATTTTGGTCTCATAGGTTCTGGATCGCTGAAAGATAAAAAAAAATTATTAATTTTGATTAATTAAATTACAAATGTAGTTTCATATTGTTATAGTCGGTTATTTGTTAATGTTTTGTCGTAAGAAAATGCAAAAATATCGTTTTAATATTTTCGTCTGATCAGTTCTGGATCGCTGAAAAATAAAAAAAAAATATTAATTTTGATTAATTAAATTACAAATGTCGCTTATTTGTTAATATTTTACCGTAAGAAAATGCCAAAATATCGTTTTAATATTTTCATCTCATCGGTTCTGGGCGGTTTAAAAATTTTTTAAAATATTAATTAAACCCATGATTTACATGAGAATGTGAATTTATTATGTCCTGCATGTTAATTTATTAATTTTCATGTATAGAATGTTATAAAATGAAAGGATATGTTCGATGATATTTTCAGTCTAAGTTTTACCGTGCCGGCGGGATGGTACGCTCTCACGGCGGTTTGCACAGGCGTACGCCTGGGCGTAAGCCCATGCGTCGCCGACCTAGCGGCCGGCCGTTTGGTATTTATAAGAAGGCTTTTATGACTTCGGTTGAAAAGCAGTCTACCGCTCCTCGAGAATACACTTTCTCGACTATTCTCGTTCCGGTTTTCCGTTGCAGGTTATTATTAATCTCCACATAGCATTACCACGGGTCGGTGTCTAAGACCGAATGGCCCATATGTGGTGAGCCTTATAAGTGTTGCATACTTGTACCAACTGAGCATCAACTGTCTGTAACCAAAATTGGTTAAAACTAAAAAAGTATAAGATTGTATAAAATTTGTGAACCAAGAAAGTAGTGTTAGGCGAAAATTCGTTCTATCACTTTTAGACGGGAGACTGTTTAGAAATATTTAAAGTATAAAGTACACATAAGTCCACTGAATTGTGAATAAAATTACGTCCCTGAGTTTAAGAAAAGTCAAGAGGTGTCAGAAATAAAATCCTCTCTGATACGTTCAGAGAGGAAAATAAGTATGGAAAGAGATTAAATAGATATTTAAAACAAGTCGCTCTCTCCGTACATGAGTAAAAATGAAAGAAGTCAATGCACGTACCTCACGATTATTCGACGAAGAGTGATTTGCCTCAGTCAAGTGATCGACGTCTCAGGGTTCGACCCTCGATTGGTACCCCAAAGTGGGAACATCATTTGGTAAATCGGGGTACGTGTCGAAGGGGAAGTCCCATGCGTATTGGTTGTCTAGGCGCGCTTCTTAATTTGTGATCCCTCCTTGACCTTCCATTTCAACTCTGTCTAACGTTGTCCGTTTCTTTCTACCCCTCTAATGTTACACGAATTTCGTGCGTCGCAATTCCTATTCTTTCTAGAACATTCGAAATGTATTCTAAATCGATTTTATTTGAATCTCGTTAAATGATGAGGCCTTTACAAACGATGTTCTGGTATCAATAAACGTTTCAATCAGCGATATTTCTTTTTCCGCTACTTCATTTAATGCATTCGATGGTCATTCAATTTTCATTCTTTTTACGCGTTTCTACGGCTTGTGTGGTAAGGGATACGGCAATCTATGTTTTACCGTTAGCTAGTTATGGGTACATTTTAACGCGAGTCCACGTACATTAAATGTTAACAATAAATATATTCTAGAATATTTCTTTGCGTAAACGCTTGGCAGATTTCATTGCCTAGTAGTTGTGACAATACGTGTTTATTACCCCGGTCGACCGTTGTCTCGAACGTTCTTGAACGTTGGTCGACGTTTTCAAATTCCCAGTGGTTGTCACGCAAACCTCGCATTTCATACTTATTCAAACCATTTCATACCATTCAAATCAAATCGCTTTCACACTTTATTGCACTCATTCTCTCGTGGAAGAACCGGCTGACGCATGCTTTACAGGTAGAAGAGGTATTTTGCTAGTGAGGTAAAACAAAAATCATATCTTCTATGTACTACGCGGTTGGCCTGGAAAATTTCCAAGTGCGTCGCACTGCTTAACCGCGCGGCGAAGGATGTTTACGATACCTCTCTCTTAACGGTTTCGAATTTCAATGTCTCTATAACTACGCAGTTTCGACGAGGCAATCGTCCTAAGGAAGGTTGACTCTTATTATTTGAAAAGAACTAATTATAGCCTCCTTTGTGTGCCTCGCCTGGGATTATCTCCAAGTGCTACGCACTGACGAGGTACACGGATTTGGTATATTAGACGGTTGAACCTATTTAAACACGGTCGGATTGAAAATAATCTGGACGTAACATATATAATATACATTTAGTATCAATATCATTATTACTATATCTACATTAGATAAAATATAATATACATTTAATAACAATATCATTATGGCTATATCTACACTAGATATGAACTACACATTTAAGAACAATATCATTATTACTGTATCTACATTAGATATGTAATATACAGTTAATAACAATGTCATTATTACTATATCTACATTTGATATCATGTAATATCTTCATCCGTCCAACAGATCAATATACATTTAATAACAATATCATTATTACCATGTGTAGGTGATTCAGTGGGAATCTTGGTTGAATTGGTAGTGGAAAGGCACTGATAAAATCGTATCACTGATTTGGAACTTCGAGTTGGAATTCAAAAACACTAGCACTTGTAATTCGTGTATTTAATAAAGATATTACTCGTCGTTTGTATAATTTACAATTCGTCAATGTACTTGTTAGTTGAAACAAAGCTGTTCACTTATACTGAACTTTAATACTTATTAACTGGTTATAAAATGGTTTGGATATTCGGTTGCTGTTATCGCCTTGATCGCTTTCGCACTATAAAATCGGATGCGGCTGTTGCACATGGGAATCGGTAATCGCGGCGCTCTAGTCGCCGCTGCGACTGTTTATCTTTAAAATTTTGGTAAAGTCGCTAACGGCGCTCTGGTTAGTTATCGACCGAGAGCTGTAAACTTTGGTGGTAATTTCGTGACACATCCGTGAACACCACGGCTATATCTCATTTGATGTAATATATTGATTCCTTCCCACAGTTCAATATACATTTAATAACAATATCATTATTACTATATCTACATTAGATATGTAATATACATTTAATAACAGTATCATTATAGCTATATCTACATTAGATATGTATTACACATTTAATAACAATGTCATTATTACTATAACTATATTAGATATAATCTAATATACATTTAATAACAATATCATTGTTACTATATCTACATTAGATATGTAATATAGATTTTTTTAACAATGTCATTATTACTACATCTAAATCGACACCCGGCATACTGGTGGACGGAGGAGATCGCGGAGCTCAGGCGAAGATGCCTTAAGCTTCGACGGGTGGCACATCTAGCTCGCAAGCGCGATCTCGCGACACACCCGCAAAACATTGCTGCCTACCATACAGCAAGGCAGCAGCTCCGACGAGCCATTAAGACTAGCCAGTACCGATGCTGGGAGAAGTTGGGCGAAGACCTAAACGACGATCCGTGAGGGTTAGGGTAGAAGCTTGTCACCAGGAAATTGGGCACGTTTGCAGAAACCGCACCCATGGACGCGGCGACGACTGACCGCATTGGCGATGCCCTGTTTCCCATGCTTCCAAAGAGGCCAAACGGCCCGACACCGGTGGAACCGTTGGACGTTCCACTGTTCACGGAGCCAGAGCTTCTTGCTACGGTAAGTACCCTGAAGAACCGCAAGGCACCAGGACCGGATGGACTCCCGGCAGAGGTATTAAAAGCTGTAGCAAGAGGGCACCCACAGCTCCTGCTCAACATGTACAACTCCTGCCTGAAGGCGGGAATTTTCTACTGCCGTTGGAAGGTCGGGAAACTTGTACTAGTGAGCAAGGGCAAGGGGCCAACGGATGCACCGTCCTCCTTTAGACCCCTGTGCATGCTGGACACTGCAGGAAAACTCCTGGAAATGCTTGTGCGCCCTCGCCTTCATGCCGCAATGAGAGCCGCCGGCGACTTCAGCGAGAGGCAATATAGCTTCAGGTCAGGAAGATCCACGATAAATGCTATCCAGGAAGTGGTGGACGCAGCCAAGAGTACGGAGGTAACCACTGTTCACGCCCAGTCTGCCTGCTGGTCACCCTTGATGTGCGCAATGCCTTCAACACAGTAAGGTGGAAAGACGCCCTAGATGCGATGGAGCCCGACTTCAGGCTACCGGAGTACCTTCTTCAAATACTTGACGATTACATGAAAGACCGCCATCTAGTGTACAATACCCAAGACGGCCCGAGAGAAAGAGAGCTGACGGCAGGCGCAGCCCAAGACTCCATACTGGGACCGGACATATGGAATATTTTCTATGACGGTATCCTATGTATGGAGATGCCTGAGGGTACCCGCCTGGTGGGATACGCAGATGACATCGCAGCCATCATTGTCGCACGAGACATAGCGATCCTAGATGGCGCGTGCGATCCTAGATGCGGGACCACGGTCTGGAGCTCGCGGAAGCGAAAACGGAGATTATGCTTTTGCCTAAGAAGCGCATGCAGGTGGGAGACATGACGATAAAGACTAAGGCGGCCGTTAAGTATCTAGGAGTAACTCTGGATACCCGGCTCACCTTTTGGGAGCAGATTCGGAAGATTGCACACAAAGCACCAGCAGTGACGGCATCCTTGAGCAGGGTCATGGCTAACATAGGCAGGCCTCGGCCATGTAAGCGGCGACTACTGATGCGCACTGCTGAAGCCATCCTGCTGTATGGCGCTGAAGTATGGGCTGATGCGTTGCGATACGAACAGTATCGCAGTCGCATAGCCGCAGTGCAACGACGAGGTGCGCTCCGAATCGCGTGCTTCTACCGCACGGTCTTCGAGCCAGCTATTATGGTTATCACGGGCGTCATTTCTATTGACCTTCTCGCCCAGGAGCGAAGTTTCGTCCAACGGAGCAAGGCTACCTTAGGCCACGCAGCGGCAAAGCAGGCCGCCAGAGCACGAACGTACTCAGTGTGGCAGAACCGATGGGTAAACGAGTCACGTGGCAGATGGACCGCTCGACTCATACCGCAACTTGATGCGCCGACATGCGACATGGAGAGACATTGTCACTCAATTCCTGTCAGGACATGGACTTTTCCGGAGCTACCTGCACACCAGGGGCAAGGCACCTGACCCTGGCGGCGACTGCCCACGCGATGATGCCCTTCACAGATTTTTTTAGTGTGAAGCGTGGAGAACAGAACGTCAGCTCCAAGAAGCGGTCGTTGGAGCCTCGAAGTCTGGATAAACACCGCCCTCTTTGTAGAAGCGGTGCTTCGACGGAAGAAGAGGGAAGAAGACGCACTACAGTCCATGTAGCATTGGGTGTCACATACGGAGTGCAAACAATAGGGATCACTGACTGAAGTAATGTGCGGGACAGTGCCAGTCAGTCTTTTCCAGGTACTGGAGGCTGGTGTTTTTAGTGGATATGCCTACGGGAGAGTTCCACACACGTGGGTCAACAATATCTGTCCCCTACGGTGCGCAATAGCATTTTCCCTTCATCATTAAAAAAAAAAAAAAAAATATCTACATTGGATATAACGTAATATACATTTAATTACAATATGATTATAGCTATATCCGCATTAGATATATAATATACATTTAATAACAATATCATTATCCGACTTCGAAAAGGAGGAGGATACTCAATTCGATGTGTATGGATTTTTTTTTTATGTATGTTCACCGATTACGCCGAGATGGATGGACCAATCGGAACGAAGCCTTTTGCATCTTGTAGAGTATGTCTCCCGATTGGTCCTGTTAAAAAGATATTTTGCATTTTTTCATTCCTAACGATTTTTATTGCAAAAAATTCATTTATATTTTTTTCGGCGCTTATTCCACAGGGAATATATCGAGTGGGACTTCTCAACATTATCCGTGGAATAAAAAAAAAAATAGACTTCGTCATTTTTTCTATCAGTTGGTCGCTAAAAGAAGGGTTGGCTTCCTTCTTCACGTACCAGTCGCTGGAAGCTAATTTGGACTGTTTCTTTGCAAAAGTAACCGTCGTAATCTTTGCATTTCTGCGAGTGCTCTTTCGTCATGCAGTTTAACGAGGACTTTGTTTGGTGCTAAATCAGATAAAGCTAAACCATCTAAACTTTTGACAGGACTAAGAGCGACGTAAATTTGGTCTTTTGCAAAATTCTTTTTACCAAGATCAATTACAGCTTTGTTTAATGTAGTCCTTTATGCATCGTTACTGCCCAACTTGGAATAAGTGGTAACATTCTGCGCTCGACGTCTCCATAACCTTTCGTCACCTGAAAAGTTGCTACAACTGGAGATATTGGGATGTAACCGTCGACATCTTTAAATCTATTTCCAATGGACTCCTTGTCAAATTTTATAAGTACTGAGTCCGGCAACTCTCCCTGTACTAGTTGATCTCTTCGAAGTGCCGGCAATGTAAATTTCTTTACTATTCCCATTGCGCCGTTCATCAAGCCATCAGGAATTGATATATTCCGTCGCAGCATCATTCGCGATCCCTCAGTTAACGTTATTACATGTAACAGTCCGCCACAATTATTTACATTTACGGGTATGACATTTTTTGGTGGCCTTTTTCCATATGTAGCTGCCTCACGGGACTCGTCTCAATATAGGTTTTAACTCGCGTTGCCGTCGAAGAAAACATTGTTCCGAAGATTCGTTTTCGGACATAAGTGTACTTTCATCACGAAATGGAATGTGACACACTATTAAGTTATAAAAGTATCCTTCTCTATCACTGTTCAGGGTATAATATCGGTGGCGGTGTAAAGCTGGTTTATTTCTTATTCGCATTCGGGTATTGTCCTTCAATTTTATAAACTTCGATCTCGAAATTTCTTCATCGTCAGTTCTAAGTTCTGCGTCGCCATCCTCTTCTGCCCATATTTCGCTTGAGACTGTTTCATATCGGACAGCAAATTCGGCTAAACTCAAGTTCTCTAGGTTGTCTGGCCTCTTTACGTAACGATCGAATATGTTATTGAAAAATGATGTTCCATTTTCTTCAAATCGCAGAATTCTATATCTCTGCGCACGCCGACAACTGTTTAAAAATACAGCTTTTCGCGAGCTCATTTTAAGGGGCAGATGGCATAACTGATATGCATATTCTTTAGCACAAACCACACGTTGAGATAGAATTGCCATAGATACCAAAAATAGTTGACTCCGGCATTTTGCTCGTGAAATGGCTTCTTTAATAATATTTCCTGTGTCCTGCGGCTCGAATTTACTTGCGTATTTAGCAATATAATATGCGAGAACTGTAACATTTCTGCATGGTTGAATATCCATGTTTGCTTCCCAAAGTTTTAAAAGAGTTGGGTTGTAATTATTCACCATAACTTCATTTGCGGTTCTCTTAAGTTCGCAGAAACGCCCGTTGTTGACAAGTGTGTAACATCCCGTAAGAAGAGGAATAAATAAAAAAAAAAAAATTCTTATTATTAGTATTTATTAAAACATTTATTTATTTTTCGTTTTTATACAATTAAAATTTGTAACAGTTCGTTTTTTTAAATTGTTGTATTACTATGATTCAGATTAATAATTATATTCGTGTTCGATAGCTGGGAAGGGAATCTTGTATTTATTAATATTTAAATTTAACAAAAATGTATACTCCAAAAAAATATACATCGATAGTTGTCGTGTCGATAAGGCTGCCGCGTCGATGGGGGATCGACACAGAGCGCGTAGTGGATGGAGATAGCGGTGGCACGTGGAGGGAGATGGCAATAGAGCGCAGAATGGAGAGAGATGGCAATAATGTATAGACAAAGATAGAGATAGAGATAGAGTTCGGGGTCCAAACACTTCCGGTATCAAAAGTACGTGTAGAGAGAACTGCTGCGTAGGCGGATCTCTGGTATGGGTGCGAGCGTGCCGCGCGGAACTGTTTCACTTCGAATCTGATCGTAGTCTGACACGGGTCTATGGTACGATTATTACTTAGAATTCAGTAGCATAGATTCTTTTGTCGGCAAGGCGGCAAAGGTTCCGCGTCGGACCCGGAGCGCTTGACTACCGGTTCGCAGCGGTTCTCATACGTGTCAGGTTCGCAACCAAGCCTAACGAGCGAGCGAAAGCAGAAGCTCCTTGGATGCGGCCTACTAGTACACTGGCTCTAGAGCGACGATACCATCCTGCAGTGTTCGCTACCAAGCTTAACGAGCGAGCGAAAGCAGAAACTCCTTGGATGCGGCCTATCAGTGACGGCTAAGTTGCCCAGAAATCGTACTGCGGCCGAACGAGTTAGCTCCTACAGTGTCAGAACGGATCCTCGCCAATTTTCCGACAATCCATCAATTCATTTAGATAATATTATATTATAAATTCAAGTGATAGATTTAGAGTTTTGATAATTGTATCTAGAGTCGCGTTCACTGATCAATTTATTTTCCTTTGTATTTTATTTTAGGACGAATTATTTTGTAATTAATAATCTGAATTTTCTTTTATTGTATTTCATTTTAGCACAAGAGATGAAAAATTGCCTTTTACTATTTTTTTTCACGATTTTAACAAATTGTAATTTTTTAAAACGACAAAAACACATATCTTAATAAATTAATTTGTATAACTTCTCAAAAAAAACCTCAAGTCATTTGGTCCAATTTTAAATGAGGTATTCTGTTTTAAACGGTGACTAGTGTTACGCCCCGGAGGGAAATTTGAAATTTATCCGCCTTGCGTCCCTTATCAAGCCCTTTCGTGGGTTACGAGAGTATCTCATGCATGGGGCGTGGGGTGGGTGTTTCACTTTTCCGCCAAGCTTTTCATTCCTCCTCAACCTTGTGCATCCTTGTCAAGCCTTCCGAGGTTACGAGGTGTACAAGGGAGAGTTTGAGTTTAATTCCTTTCAATTTTTGACTTCTTCTATCGCTTTCTCTTCTTTATTTGCTCTGCCCTGGACTCGTGTACCTTGTCAAGCCCTTTGGGGTTACGAGAGTATCTCATGCGAGGTACACGAGGAAAGGTTGTTTCTATTTCCTTCTTTACAATAGTTTACGTGACCCTCCTTGAAACTATCGTCGCCTACCATAGTAACACAGTACAGCTTGTAACATTGCACAAAAATTCGAGGTTAGCTCGAGAGAGATAGAGCTATAATTCTAACTTTTTAAAAAAATTTTATTTTAATATAAATAAGGAAAAGGGTTCAATTCTACTTTAAGCGAATCATTGTTTACGAAAACAAACAAAACAATTCTGCTTTGAGCGAATATAAAGAAACAGACAATTTCTGCTGTGAGCGAATCATTGTTTCTGAAAATATAAACAAGGAGAATGGTTCAATTCTGCTTTAAGCGAATCACTGTTTGCGAAAGCAAACAAAACAATTCTGCTTTGAGCGAATATAAAGAAACGGACAATTCTGCTTTCAGCGAATATGGGAGAAAGAAATTCTGCTTTCAGCAAATATAAACAAATTCTACTTTCAGCGAATACACATGCTGCTTTCAGCGAATACACATTCTGCTTTCAGCGAATACAAAGAAACTGGCCAATTCTGCTTCCAGCGAATTATTGTCTGTGAAAACAAACGGGCCAATTCCGCTTACAGCGGCTAATTAATAAAATAAAATAGAAAAGATTCGATATATGTAATTATGGGTAGACCTACAAAAAGTGCATCCCATATTGTAAGGAGCGCAAAAATAACGACATGTAAAAAATCAGGATAGCTCTTTATTCTTCAACGTCCGTCGACGATCTGCGCGTTTTTCGCGTCCCTTCGCGGACGCGTCGCTCGCTTGTTTTTTTGTTGCTACGGCATACGGTACAGTCTCCTATAAATCTATAATAAATATATGTAGTACAATCTCTTACAATATGAGAAAGAGTCGTGCGAATGAATCGAACGATGTGAAACAATTACGTCTTTCTAAAGAACGTGAAAGAAATGCAGAGGCACGGCGTCAAAAAACTATTGACGATCGCCGTTCGAGATTGTCTGTAAAGAGAAAATATGCTAGTTCGAAAGAATCGCACGAAACAATAGATGAAAGAAAACGTCGGCTAAGCAGAATTTCTAATCGTTTAAAGAACGAATCTACCGAGAAACGATCACGTCGTATCGAACTAATCCGCAAGCGTTTAGCGAACGAATCTAATGAGAAACGGTCACATCGTATCGAATTAATCCGCAAGCGTTTAGCGAACGAATCGACGGAGGAACGGTCACGCCGTTTTCGATTAATCCGCAAGCGTTTAGCGAACGAATCTGCCGCGGAACGGTCACGTCGTTTCGCATTAACCCCTTGCACTATTTTGACGAGTCTGACCCGTGATGAAAAATTTAGGCCAAACTTGAATTTCACGAGTCAGACTTGTTTAATTTCATGCCTATCGTGGATATCACGAGTCTAACTCGTGATCGACATTTCAGACCAAACATGAATATCACGAGTCTGACTCGTGGTCTTAATCTCGGGCCAAGTATGAATATCTCGAATGGGATCGTGTGTCCCCATGCAGGCCACGTGCTACCTAGATTTCAATGAAATGTGTATTTTAATTAAATGTAGATATTTAATAGTCTTTTTATGGTATTCTGTTACAAAATCTGTTTTTCATTGTACCGAGTGCTTTTCAAATTAGAAGCCGCGCACAACCAGCAATATAGCGATCCATTGTTCATTAAATGAAAGGTGCCGACACGGAGTGAGCGTACTGTTCTTTCCTATATTGTGGCGAGACCAAGAAAGCTTCAGTCGTTCTTCAGTTTGTACCATTCTGTTATACGAGGTGCACAGGTTTCGAACAGTCTGCTCTACAGAAAGTGATATTCTTGACCATTTTTAATTTTGTCAAGCCCTACAGCATGTATAAGAAAAGAAGTAAAATTACTAAAAAAGCAAATAGTTCGCGTGGAAGTAAGAGTAGTGGAAAGGCTTCCAATGTTTCAAGCTGTCAATCGATAGGTAGTGAAAGAGTTATAAACAGTGATGAAAATTCTAATGACAGCAGCATCATTGTACCAGTGATAAATCCCGCAAGAAGATTAATTATATATGACAATGATGAAGAGGAAAATACCAGCCCTGAATTGAGTGTTGAATAGAATTGGAAGGAAACTGATAACAGACCAACAATTTGGGAATATTCCGAGTCTCGTGGTGTAAAACACTATGTTTTAAACCAGTTAGGCACGAATTACGGAATATTAGATTTATTTTTTGTTGTGTTCGATGAAAATTTGTGGGACATTGTAGTTACGCAAACAAATCTTTACGCGGAACAAATAATGGACAATGGGAGAAAGAGGCTGGATGATGGTTGGTTTTCAGTTACCAAGGATCAAATATTGGCCTATTTTGCGCTGTGTGTTTTGATGTCGCAAGTCAAAAAAGCAACTATACAAATGTATTGGTCTAAGCGGGAAGTTATAGAAACACCTGTATTTGGTAAAGTAATGCCGCTCAAAAGATTTACTCAAATATTACGATGTTTGCATTTCTCGAATAATGTAAGGGATTGCAACAACGACCGCCTTTACAAGATAAGACCAATCATTAATTACTGGAACCACAAATTTGATAAGATGTACACACCGGAAAAAGATAAAAGTATTGATGAGTCATTAATGCGATATAAAGGCCGTTTATCTTATAAACAATTTAACCCATCCAAACGAGCCAGATTTGGATTAAAAATATATAAACTATGTGATGCAAATACTGGATTCTGGAGCAAGTTTAAAATATATACTGGCCAAGATAAAATTGACCTAAATGATAGTGCATCAGAAAATGTTGTGATGGAATTGGCAGAATCGGTACTAAATAAAGGATACACATTATGCATTGATAATTGGTATTCCTCACCCGCTCTCTTTCTAAGATTGCACAAACAAAAAACAAATGTTATCGGCACCGTACGTAGTAACAGGAAAAATATGCCAAAGGATCTTTCAACAAACAAGTTAAAACCAGGAGAACGTGTATACAGAACGTGCAATGGGTTGTTAGCTTTAAGATGGAAGGACAGACGTGATGTCTATATGTTGACAACGAAACACGCATCTGTGGAATTAACCGAAGTGACGGACAAACGAGATAGGACGAAATTGAAACCCAACTGCGTGATCGAGTACAATAAAGGAATGGGTGGAATTGACCTCAATGACCAAATGTTGGCATATTTCCCCATTATGAGGAAATGCCTCAAGGGTTATAAAAAACTCTTTTTTTACATGTCTGACATGGCCCTATTTAATGCATACGTTATGAAAAATCAATTACCAAACAATTACGGAAGACAATCATACGCGAATTACAGAATAGATATAGCCGAGGCAATTTTGAAATATGTACAGCTGCCTGACTATGCAAGACGCGGGAGATTCGCAGAAATTCAAACACCATTACGCTTACAGGCACAATATTGGGGTCATTTCGCGAAACATATTGATAAAACTCCTAAAAAGCAACATCCAACTAGAATGTGTAAAGTGTGTTACAGACACAAAAAACGAAGAGAAACGACTTGGGAATGCACAAAATGTAAGGTGGCTTTGTATATACCGGAATGTTTTATAAACTATCGTACCATGCAGGATTATTAATTTTAGACTTGTAAGTATTTTTCAATTTAATAGTTTTTTTTATTTTTTTTTTTTTACGAGGGGGAAAAATGCCTTACGCACACCGAGTTAGATGTTCCCTCGGTAGTGTGGGGCTGTTATCCCGTAACTTACCCACTAAAAAACCCACCTCGATTTCACGTCATGATGCCGGTCGCGGACCACGCCCCCGGAACCGCTGTTGAGCATTACTTCGGGGGCGGGGCGACGTAATAGCGGCTGTTACCTGGTTGGTGCCTCTCCACTTACAGGTGATACCCAGCCCGTGGGAATCTCACTACACTAGGTCAGGTTTTTTAAAATTGGAGGTTGTACCGTCAGTTTGTCGTTACAATCAGTTTTAAACATCTTATGCTGTCGCTTGCGTCAAGTTCGTAAATTGATAAAACGAATAAATATATAAATAAACGAATAAAATATATTTGTTAACTAATATTAAAACCAGGGCCTCGATTCACGAGGTGACAGTCACTAACAGTTTGTATCAAACTTATTCAGGGTTACCTACTTGGTCTCTGTAATTCCGTGTGTCCATGAGAACAAATAAACATCTTATACTGGACCTCTCAACCTCGACAACCTCTCGTTTTCCAATAGATCAAGTGCACATCCATCACTTCTTTCCTTTTCCATTTATTTATTGCTCTTTTCTATTGGATTAGATTTTTGTTCTTCTTCATTCTTCTTCATCCTCTTGATATATCGCTTGCTGTTGTTGCTGTCGCTGCTCTTTTCCTGGCCCTTTCAAGCTCTACTTTTTCCTTCAGTGTCCCTTTTATGAACGCCAGCACTTCGTTCCTGGTCTCCTCCTTCCTTAGCAAATCCATCAGATTCTCTTTACAGAAGTCGACCTGCAATGTGGTGTCCAGATTATTCCTTTCCGACGCCCACCTGTCACACTCGAATAAAAAGTGTGCCGGGTCGTCCACCCTTCCTGGGCAGAACCAGCAACTATCCGAATCTTGTTTTCTTATCTTGTTTAAAAATGCCCCAAAACATCCGTGCCCTGTCAGTACCTGGGTTAAATGAAAATTTAAGATGTTGGGGCCCCAGGTTAGCCAGTCAGAGATTTTTGGTATCAGCTCAAACGTCCACCTACCCTTGTCCGAACTCTCCCACCTTTCCTGCCATACACTCACGGTGTAGGCCCGGGCATCTATTCTCCGTCTGCCTGTAGCACCCTCTTCTTCGTCTTCAATTTCCAGGCTTGTTCTCTTATTGAAGAGGTATTCTCTTTCTTTCACAATGAGATCTAAAGGAACCTGCCCTGTCAATACGCATAATGCGTCCGCCGAGACCGTCCTATACGCATGTGCTACCCGTATTAGTGCTATCCGTTGTGTGCTGGTTAGAACGCCTACATTACCTTTGTTGCTCAATCCTATTGCCCAGATCGGTGCTGCATATAAGATTACTGATTCAATAACCTTGTAATACAGCTTCCTGGCCGTCTTACCTGCACCGTGCGTGTTTGGCATCAGTAGTGCCAGTGCATTGGCATACTTTAGTGCCTTGTTACATACCGAAATCATGTGTCTTTTGAATGTGCTGTTCATTTCTAGGGTAACTCCTAGATATCTTGCCTCTTTGGCCGTCTTAACTTCTGCTTGCCCGCACTTTATTTTCATCCCCCCGGTTACCTTTCTGCCTGTTAGGAGGATGGCCTCTGTCTTTTGGTGTGCCAGGCTGAGCCCTTCCTTCTCATACCAGGCTGCCATATCTCGTATAGTCAGTTCCACGACTCTCTTCATGTTCTCGAGATCGCGGTCGACTGCTATCACCCCTATGTCGTCGGCATATCCGACCAGATGTACGTTTTTCCTGGTATTCATCCTCAGCAGTTCATCATATACCAAATTCCAGAGAAGCGGGCCTATCACTGATCCCTGTGGTACCCCTCCGAATACTTGATATCGCGTTTCGATGTCTTTTCCGCTGTAGACGATCCATCGATCCTGCAGGTAGCTGCGCACAATGTCAATCAGTTCTGCCGGGAATCCTCGTTCTTTCAAGTTCCGCATAATACTATCCCACCTCACAGTATTAAACGCATTCTTGACATCCAGCAATACCAACAGGCAGTGGCGCCTATACTCTCTTGCGTTCTGGTAGTGTTCCATAACCAGTTTCATCGCATTAAGGGTGGACCTCCCCTTGCGAAACCCAAACTGGTTTGGAGCGAAGTCGTTACACTTAAGGGCCAATAACAACTTATCCTTTACCGCGTGCTCAAAGATCTTCGCTATGCATGAGATAATTGTTATCGGTCTATAGGCCTTTTCAGAGGCGGTGGTCGCTTTACCTTTTGGCAAAAGCACCAGTCTACCGGTTTTCCATGCGGTAGGCCAGTATCCTCTCCTATAGCATACGTTGAAAATATATGCCAGCCATCTTGGCGCCTTTAGGCCTATCTTTTTTGCGGCTGCCGACGTGATTCCGTCCGGCCCTGCAGCCTTTTTTGCCGACAATTTCATCGCTATTTTGACAATGTCATCCTGCGTAAAAAACACACGGTATGGTGAGGGTGAGGGTTCCCGTTGGTCCCGGCTTCCATCGTGCACCTCTTCCGCCATGCTACCGTCTGTCTCCTTTGGCGTATCATCCAGACTCGGCTTTAGAATAAACAGCTTGGACACTACCGTGTCCACCTCTTCGGGGGATAAGGAAGCTGGTTTAGTTATTTTGCCCTTAATTGTCCTCATTATCAATTTGTAGGGCCTTCCCCAGATGTCCGCGTCTACCTCCTGCAGCAATTCAGCCCAATTGTCTTTTTTGGCCTTTCTTATCTCCTTGTTAAGGTCCTGTTTGCACCTCTTATACGCCTTGGTCGACTTTTCTATGGCTTCTTGGTCCGTTCCTGCTTTGTCTCTCGTTAGCTTTCTTCTGGCTTTTTGTGCTAACGCTCTTTTCTCCCTTATCTTGGCGTTCCACCAGGGTACTGGCATGCGTTTATCCTGCAAGCCATTATACCTGGTGTAACGCTTTACCATTCTGTTCATATCTTCCAGGAACTTATCCACCTCAAAGGTGGTGTGCGTGCGTGGGCGCCTTTCAAAGTTCTCATCGCCATACTTCTTTAGAAAGGCTTCTAGAAACCCTTTTTCGTCCAACTTTCCTTTCTTTAAATCGAACAGTGATGCTCTTTCTCCTTGTCTCTGCTTCGTTTGAAACGTGTGTAAAAGGTATTTGTGGTCTGATGCCGAGAAATCCTCCACCACCATCGTTTCCGCCAAGCAATGTAATGCCCTTTTGTTGCATGTCATGATGTCGATTTTTGTGCCCCTTCCCCGATCACACGTAGCCCCTCCCTTCGTGATTGTAGGAAAGAGGTCCACCGTGTTACAAAACTGGAAGAGCTTTCTCCCCCGGCTACACCACTTATCCGCACCCCATAATGGGGATTTCGCGTTAAAGTCTCCCATAATGACAATCTCCTCTGAGCTGTTTTTTAGTGTATTAATTTCGTATGCCAGCGAGTCCAGCAATGCCTCGTAGCCTTGTACCGAATCATTTGGTGACGCATACACGCTAATTATATACATACTATTATACTTTATGATGACGTAGCCGTTCCCACTTTTGACTAGAGAGATATTCTTTCCATCAGCTATCCCCCTGGCGGTTATTAACGTTGCCGCTCTGCCTGTGTTATCTACAAACCAGTTTTCGGGCACTCGATATGGTTCAGATACTACCACTACGTCTACATTATATTTGTCCGTAGTGGTTATTAGCAAGTCATGAGCAGTTCTGCAATGGTTCAAATTTATTTGCAATATTTTAATTTTGCCTTTTACCTTTCAGGGCCTCCTTGTACCTGTGGCACCTCACCGACGCTGCTACGTGTCCGACCATCTCCTCCGGTAATTTATCGGCTACACACAGCCGACATCTAGGTGCATTTTTGCACTCCCTCATCTGGTGTCCCCGATCACCGCATTTCCTGCAGAAGCCATCCCCTTCCTTGTTACTTTTGCAGTTGACAGCCACATGTCCTAGTTCGTGGCAGCGGAAACAGCGAAGGAGACGCGGGATCTCTTTCACCGGGACAATAGTCCATCCTATCTTAATCTTACCCTTTCTGATCAACTTTGTCATGTCGGTCGCGGGGCCCTCGATTACAGCAATCTTGTTTTGCCTAGGATCGACCCGTAGGACCTTTATCCTGGTGTCCAAAGCCTCATGTCCCATTTCCCTTTTTAGTGCCTCTACAATATCCGTTTTTTCCGCGGCGGGGTCTATTCCTCTCAGCTCCACGTCTATTTTTTGCTGTAGCCTAGCTACCTCCACATCCGGCCCTAGCTTCCCGTCTATACTCTTTTTAAAGCTCTCCAGGTCAGCCCCGGGAGTAAATTCTATCAGCAAATTTCCCGCCCTGGTCTGTTTGACGGTTTTCACCCCCTCGGGAGAGGAGCCAGCGGCCCCTTTAACCCTCTTCAGTATGGCAGCGAATGTCATTTCCTTGCCAAACCTAACCGCTATTGCCTGTGGTTTCATGGATCTAGGTCTTCTGTTAGGTGTGCCCTTCCCTTCCGCTCCACTCCCCTTCGTCTTCGCGCCCGTCTTTTCTCCGGCCTCTTCTATTTTATCTTTCTTCCTCTCTGTGTCCATCCTTTTCCTCCTAGCTTGAACTACTTCCCACTCCTGGTCATTAGTCCTCTCCTCCTTTTTTGGGGTCTCCCTCTCCCCCTTCCTCTTCCTTGTATCTTCATCCGGCGTTCCTTCTGTACTTGAAAGGAGAAACCTCTTCTTCTTTCCCACTTTTTCCATGGGCGGTGTAATCTCCTTCCTCTTCTGTCTTATGACCGGCAGAGGTGGGAACTCCCTATCCGACCCCCCAGCCGTCTGTGTCGCCATGTTTTTATAGTTTTTTCTGTTTCCTTTTCTAGGTGCGCCATGGGTCGTCCCCTTCGATTCCTCCGCGGAGTCCGTTTCCTCGTCTTCGCTGGTAAGTATATTTACATTCTTTCTTTTACTTTCCCTCGCTTCTAG